ATTGGGTACTTCAAATTAAGATGCAAAATGCCACAAATTGAAAAATACGCACGATTTTCTACTATTCAATTCCACAAGTAAAATTATTTTCGATTAGAGTACAGACATCTTTAAGTACACTCCGCAAATATTTACGCACACAATTTGGTTGATTCCAGAAAGATTAATTGTACTCTTCTTAATGTTTTTTAAAATCAAGCTTTAACTCAGCTTTTCGTAATTTGGCATTTAGTTCTATCAAAACTTAAAGTATCCAATTGCGCGTCTTGCGTCGAAAGTATAAATTCTTCTACAAGTAGTCGACTAATTGGTATACCCGGAGCTTTGTAGCTTCGTTTTCTCCTAATTACTGAGAACATCTAGAATAGCCTTAAGCCAATTATGACGCAGATGGAAATAAAAAGCAAAAGATCGTATAATTTCTATTCGTTTAAATTTAATGTGCGCTTTGTAAAAATGACTCTATGCAAAATTAATTTAGTAATTCAAAATATGTTGCTTGAATAATTCACAAATTATTATACAAATAAATTTTACTTATTTATAACCGGTAATTATGATTTTTGGCATTGCCAAAAATGTTTGAATAATTAAGAATTAATACTTCACATCTTAATCCTGTATTTAATCCTGCTTCTTATCCTGTCTGATCGTAGATTGGCTTTAACGCATTTATATATAGCAAATCGAGTATTATCTATTCACTACTAAATTGTATATACAGTTAATATATACACACATACAGATGAAAATGACAGGACGGTAGGAGAAAAATACATTTCTAACGCGACATCACAAATGTAACAATAAAAAAAAATTCTCAAAATTAAGATATATAGGCATCTGTCATTGAAAGTGATCTACATCATAAAAAATATCTTCCTATATATCTTTTTTTTACAAAACAAATTAAAATCGTAATTTGGAAGGAATGAAGGAGTGAGGAACTATAGAAAATCAAACAAAAAAATGCTGCTGTAACTGAAAGCTCTCTAGCACTTTTATTCTCAAATAATAAAAGTTAAAATATATATAATGAAATAATAATAATAACTAATAATAATTGATGGGTGTAACTAATACAATAGAATGTCTATCCGTTTGCGCATTACGTCTATTAAACGCATTACAACATATCGAACGATAATTAGCCGACGATACCGTAGCGAGGAGAGGAGTGGGGATCGTATTTCTATATCATTATCATATTAATTATCTACAAATTGCTGACGAACAAAAATCGATAGCCTTCTCCCCGCCTTTATGACTCTCTTTACTTCTAACTGTCTTCTCTTTTCAATTTCCTTCCGAGATATCATATTCTCTACCTCCTTGTTCTCTTTTCACTCATCGTCGTCCGCGTACCAGTCAACGGATGTGCGACTTTAGGAACTCTTTTTATTCGCGTTTCTCCCTTTATCTTACTATAAATCGCCTTTCTGTCTCGTGCGCATATTTTTGTCGAGAATGTGTTTTCGCTACAGCTTGGTCCACGACTCTGGGAGTTCAGGTTTAAAGATAGAAATGAGATGAAGTATGAAATGAGACGATAGGAAGCTATCGGATGTTACTCGTACGTGGTCTAACAGTTCGGTCCGACTCTCACTGTAAAGAAATTTTCTAACGCGTTTATGCAATATTAGTCTTCCGTAATTGAACTCATTAAAATAATTTAGAAAAAACTACGTAATTTAAATTTCCCACATATATCAAAATACTGCTTTTACATTTCAAATTATTTTGTAGCGCAACGTAACAATACGGTGGCACTGTGCAAATTATTGAATCATGTAATGACAGCATGCGCTTTCCTCGTGTAACTACATACAATTAGAAACGTAAAACATTGTCAGATACATAAAAAGTCGTACAGTAATGTACACGACAAGCGACATTAACAACAGTAGCATGTATTGACTACATACCAATCTCAATAATATGATAATGATGACAATGATAATGATGACATGTTGTTATTAAATCTTGTCCTATTAAATCTTTACTATATACAACGTCCGTTTATACATTTATGTATATTTATATGTGCATATGTATACGCAGATGCACGTAAAGATTTTGTATATACTATGATGCACAGTCGACAACTTATGTGATATTACAATAAAATTACTGTATTTATATATATTTATATATGTATACATTCTTACGTAAATTTTTCACGTTGATAATGGAATCTATACACACGCATGTTTCAGGAATAAGTATATGATTGGTATATCACGTTTCCTGGCCTATAATCTAAAATCATAGCCCTTAATTAATCACCGAAAGTATTCGCGGGAAACGGATCATAGCGAGCGAGTAAATCGAGTCACAGCGGAGAGCAAAAAGTTTCTACCTAATATACCAATAGAAGCCTATATACAACGAAAAATATATATTAAAATATATTAAATCACTCGTATTAAAAAATACATGACATATCATGTTGTGTACTTTTACAAATAAGATATAACGTAAAAATCGGAAGCGTCTGAATCTCCACTGCGTCTATCTCGATGTACGAATGTACATACGTACGCTTTATATAGCTCGCCATTTAACGTGTCATATATACATTACGTATTATCTAGGTACCGCATTATGTACAGTATTTTTAACTACTGTTAACTAATCGCTCGTGTGACTGTCAAAAGTTTTTTCATCAAGGATGCAAGTGCTAAACGTTGCTATGCACGCGGGAGAGCGACGCCGAACGCGATCGTCTTGCATCGCATCCTCGATAACATTTGATGGACTTAAATCGTATAATATATACAGCCCTGTGACACAGATATGTACGATACGATGACAGACACGCCTACGTATATCTATGTATGTACAATTGTATTGTCGGATCTCGCTATTTTATCATTGAGACGCTATAGCTCGGTTTGTCGCAGGGAAGTAAAGACATCCTCGAATAAAATTATTTTCAAAAAAAGATATCAGCAATAAAGAAAAGAAAAAATGAATAAACTAATTTTTTCTGCATCATGTATTGCGATTTGAATCATTCAAACATATGTGTAAATAGATACTTGCTTAATGAAGTTAATGTTCAATATAATTTGTTCGTTATAATTTTCGACAATGCTACAATCAAATTTAATTCATAAAAAATAATAAGTATTTTCTCGCGAATGACTAATTTTTGTAAATTAGTACATGCAAAGATATTAATAAAAATTGTTAATAAAAAAAAATCATCGATCATCTCTTGAAATGATAATTGAAATATATGAGGAGTAATCTATAAAAATTATATGAAATTATATACTCTGTATTTATAAAAATATTAATATAAACATATGTAGAATATATGTGTTTATATGAACATAATGTGCAATTTGACATATTTTCATGAACACCAATCAGGTTGCAATTAGAAATTGTAAAACTTTCTATTATTGATAATATACGATAATACACGATACAGCATTGACACTAGAAGTATCGACGTTTTTCTTATTCACTAAAAGAATTAAATATATAAATTACTATGAAAATAAAGAACTCAAACAACACAAAGTCTAAAATTATGATATAAGCACGTTTTTAAGTCATCTTTTAGATGCGAAAAATGTCTTATGATCTAATTTTAAACACTTTTTGTTGTCTGAGAAAATGATGAAGAACCAAATTATTAATATATTTCATCAATATTTCATCAATATGAAAAATATAATTATATTAATAAGTAAAAGAAAAAATTTCAAAATCTTGTATTAAAATCTTTTACATAAGAAATATATAATCTGAGTGCAAATATTGAATATACAAAGAACATAATCGATTCAGCTCTTATTGAAATCTAATAACGCTTGATAAAAACTTGACGGCTCGCATAAAAATACACGATTGGTCTCGTGCTACCACTAGACATTATTACACTTTTAGAGCCGAAATACTACCGTGTCTCTTGATAATATTAATCTAAATTATCTATAAAATATAGAAAGATAATGACCGCCTCGATACTTCTAATGTTAAAGTCAATTCATTTCGTTTGCAAATAAATGCAATTTCTGTTCGCAATTGAATAGTTTTCAAATGAGAAAGAAAAACAATACATTCCAACATGATTCACTTTATACGCCTAAAACGTATAAAATTACGTAAAATTAAAGTTATTCCATTAAAAAAATTGTCTTAATAATAATACAATAATCTCTTATAATTGCCCCTAATTGTACAGATAAAAAAACTTATATAACAAATTTGTATGCGGTTGAATATATTAATTTGCACTATTACAGATTAAGAAATATGTCATATATTATCTATTTAGGTGTGTAAATATAATAAACATAAACATTTTTTATTGATGAAATGTATAACATACGACATAAAAAAATAACTTATGATGAACATTTAGCTAGTTTAACTGTTTATGTATACTATGTTTACGTGATTACCAATTTTTTTTTACAACAGTTTTTAATGTGACTAGTGCACACTAATGCATTCAACCGAATTAGTTATTAATTTTTTGTATATTTAAAAATGCATTAATATTCATACTGTATGTAATACGCAGCGTGTCTTCGTATACCCTTTAAATGCTTACAACTGCAGGTGATTTAATCATCAACATGGATTTAGATTTCTCTTATTTATAGTATTTCATTTAATTTACATCCTCTCGTTTAATCGCTCCTCAATTAATTGTCTATAAAATTGATTACATTTTTCTTTGGATTCCCTAGTGACTTCTTCATGAATTTTTTATTTCTTGTACGCTATTATCGAATTCCATTTGATAGCTTCATCAGTGATACTAGTTATTAAAGTTAAATGCCGAGTTAACTTGTCTATTCTTGACTTTCTTTTCACAGTCAAAATATTAAAATATAAACGAGATTAAAGAGGAAGTCATGAATGAATAAATTAACTCAATGTCAATAAACAAAAAAAGGTAGACTTAGAGATCATTGAGGTCCGATATTCCAAACGTTACCTCGATTAATAGCTTCGAGAAATCAAATCATGGCTAATGATAGAATTCTGGTAGATTGCATAAGCGTCGTGCTTGTTGCTGATGATGATGCTGTTGCTGTTGATGTGATTGCTGATGATGCTGATGGTAGAGAGTGTCCCCTTGATGGGTCACTTGCTGGTGTCACTCGTGGGACTTGTTGTTCAACGGATGATAATTGCCACCTGACGAAGTTACTAAAGCAAGAGGTATGGGTGTTGGATGAGGATGCGAGTGGCCAGAGCTGGAGGAATGCGTTGTAAGCGCTAAAGGACTGCCAGAGATAGAATTGGCGAGAGAAGCAAATACCGAAGGTGCAGGCGACGTCATTGTTGGACTGCCCATTGCAGCTGTTGGCGGATTAATTCTCTTTTCCTTCTGCCTCCTGAAATATAATTACATGTTGCTTGAAGAGAAAGAAAACTGATGCAAAATTCACAATCTATTATCGTCATAAAGAAAAAAAATAAAGACCTTTCCGTGTATATCCAACTATGTATATTTTACGAATGCATTTGGGAGAAGGGGCAGGTTAAATTTCTTTCGAAATTTATGATTAAAATTTATAATTGAATTGACCTATTTTTTCTAATTCAAAATAAATTTTGAAAAAAAAAAAAATATTTTAAACTCTAAAATATTTAAAAAAAAGCAACTCATTAACGCAAAAAATTGCTGCTTTATATGATATACATTGACAAAAATCCCCTCTGAAAAAAATTCTGGATACGGCCATGTGTATATCTTAATAATTTTAATATTTACCTGTTACAAAACCACACACGAACTACTTCTTTCTCCATCGCAAGACTATCCGCCAGTATGGTTATCTCTTCGGACGTGGGCTTTGGGTTTTGGATAAAAGACTTTTCGAGAGCCACTCTTACGCTGGTCTCTATCGACGTTCTCTTCTTCCGCCGTCTGCCAATTGCTTCCGGTGTCGTAAGTGGATTCGACAGAGAGTTAGGATTGTTCAATGAATTATCGGCATCCTCTAACCACTTTTGTAACAGTGGTTTCAGCTTGCACATATTTTTAAAGGAAAGATTCAGTGCTTCAAACCTAGAATGCATAACCATTGATTTTGCTCAGCTTAGTGTCAATAATCATTTATTTCATTAATTTTAAAATGACATAAGTAAACTATTTTTGTTTTATATATTTTTATTATATATAAAAGAAATAATTTCAATAATATATAAGATTAATAGTCTGAAAAAAGAAAACAACTCAAAAACTCCGAATAAAAATATTTTTGAAATACATTTTTACAGCGTTTATATTTATTTGAAAATTATATTTATTTAATTGAAGTTTAAAAAATATGTTTACCTGGAGATAGTAGTTTGGGAAAAATCATTGCCGTAAAGTTTGCCCATGGCGAGTCCGACGTCTCCTTGAGTAAAACCAAGCTTGATCCGTCTTTGTTTGAAGGTTTTGGCGAATTGTTCTAACTCTTCGAGGTCCGTTGTTTCCTCCGGCGAAGGTTCTAATCTCGTCGGTTTTATTGCTGGCGGTGTGCTCGGTGGTGGCGATGATCTTTGCGCCAAACTTCGCCCGACCAAATTGCCGCTATTTTGAAGCACTTGCTGCTTCTGTAGCAACTGCGCTGCCGCTTGCACCTAACAATTATAGTTTTTCTTATCAATTTTAAATTATTCGAAAACATACACGAGATGTTTAAGATAATAATCGTTCGCCGTTTTAAACATGCAAATTAAAGTTGTATCGAGCCTTTTAAAAGCGATCTAGATATCTCTATAATACTCTTATCACTTTTAAAGGAATTTTAACTCTTATTATTACAAAATAATGTTCATAGTTTCGTTCATAAATAAATTTTGCAATCAACAATGCCTGGATACAACTCTCTCCTAAATCGTACCTGCATGGACTGTGAGCGCGGATGACTCGGTCTTGTTGGGTAGCCACCGCTCTGCAACAGCCCCTGCAAGACGTTGACGACCATTGGTAAAAATCAATAATGGTCATCTGCACTCATCTCTATTCAAAATAGAAATTCATTTCCGCGGTATCTTTAAAATGCATTTCAAAATGAAATACAGCTTATAATTGATTCGTCATATCTTTATGGTCCTAAATTTCTGTAAACGAGCATTGTGATTCAAAAATACAGCTATGTACCGTTACTTATAGCTAATTTTGCGCCCGTCAATCTCGAAGATAAATGTCTTAGTGTTTTTACGAAACACGGCACGTGTTGAGCGCGTGTACAGGTGTACGAAAAATATATTCCAAGGGTTGAATCAGTCCGATCGATTATCTTCAACCTTAGCCATGCGATACTCGATTATGAGAATGAAGGGTTCACATCACGGGTACGGTATCTCGGGTCGGAAAGGGTTCGAGGTTGGTCGCGTGTCGCCGGTATACGAGCAGTTAGTTTATGCGCATTGTGGCCGCGAAGACACCCTACGGAAATGCCTCGAGTTGAGCCACGTGCGGGATCAACCGCGACAGGTTTATCGTCTACGAAAGACATTCTGTTTAACTTTAAGTAGAGTTGATCTCTTAGTGCTTAAGAGACAGAACACAGATTTAAAAATATTTACAGAAATACTACAGATAATGCAAGCATTTTTCTACTGTGTGAGAGTAACAATTGATAAAAAAATCAAGGCATGCAATAATTTTTGCGAAATTTAACAAATATGAAAAATATTTTGTAACCTGTATGTGTATCTAAATATATACATATTTTTTTATTTTAATTTACTCGAAAAATTCTTCAAATTTTCATATAAAAAATTTCATATAAAAAATAGTGATACATGTTATTCTATTTAAAAATGATTTTAAATATTTTACAATTATTCAGAGCAAAAAAGATCGTTTTGTAATTAAAATGAAAATAGAAAAAGGTCCTTGAAGGACGATCTCTGAATGAAGAAATTGAACCTTATTGCGGCAGATAAGCCACAAAAGTCCTCACGTGGCGCACACGTAATCGCCCGCGAAGGGGTTGAAAGAGGCAGGTTGTACTCGGCGCAGCGTTTTCTCGAATGGAGAAGGTCGTGTGCCTGTCTTAATGCTGCACACGAATAAAAAAAGGAAGGAAGAACACATGGAGATGGAAGGTCCTTCTGTAGCTAAGAAAGAGAAGGAGCGCGATGAAAAAAGGAAACATCCTAGCCACGTGTGAGGTAACAAAAGGCGCCCCGGGGCAAGGTGCCGAAGGGCTCTAAGCCCACCTTGTTGCATCGTGCGGTACCTTCTGATACAGACGGGAAATATCTAGGACCCTATGTGCAAATACATGTGTACGTGTGCGTGCACAATAAATATATAATACATACAAACGCCGCTGCCCATTAAGTGTGCTAAACTTCGAAGTCGTTTTGTTGATTTTTCCCGGAGACTATAGTTGCACGCGCACGTCGTGATGGATTCTATAGACATTTTTTTTTTCGTAAATGCAAAGCCCGGTCCATTCAGATCACTCGCGAGAAGAACCGCACAAATGAGAAAAAGGGGGAGAGGGAGCGCATCCAGGAAGCGGGATCGTTTTTCAACGTATCCCCGGATATCGTAGATCGATTCCTCCACCTTCTGTCGATCCAAAAGATCCAACGAACAAATAGTGAGAAAATCGTGGAACACGTTTCTTTCATCTAAGGAGGAATGCGTGCTGCGAGACGACTGATAAATATGTCGCTTCTTTTTCGGCGATCGTCAGGCGTGGGTTTTAAGGCATACTCGAAACGTGATATTTATCGAGGAAAATCAGGAAATCGCTTTGTATGCTTTTTCCGGAGATGTCTTCAATTATTATTCGTCTTATAAGTGTTTTCTGTATTGTTATATTATTATGATGGTATCAGGTGTATTTTAAAATTCAGATTCCTCAGTAATATCTTTTTCATCTTTGCACAACCGATTTTATATCTAAGATTTTTCAGCTATTACTTTTGCGATAAATTACATTACATTCCACTTTTTGCTTTCATCAATGCGAAGCAATAGATACGCATAATGGGACTAAATAAACGGACACCGCAAATTCCATTAGAGATTGCGTCGGGATTATTTCGATGACTACTCGTTTAAGAAGACTTTAATGCGATGTAATGGAGCGCGAAATTCAGCTGTGGTTGCAAGGCGGTGTTCGTGTATATTTGCATCGATGAGAGCAAGCCTAAACAAGGAGGTAGCACCCCGATTTCCTTTGTGCCGTTGCTAGACAGCTATCTCGATGTCGAATCGCAAATACGCGAAGAATAAGACGTTCGCTCTCGCTTGATCTACACCTTGATCAGATAGCACTGCCGAACGTCGCTGCTTTGACGATCCGCTCCGATCGGATCCGATCCCGCTGACGAATCACAATGATACGCAATTTGTGATTTAAATAGATAATAAGTAATTCGGCAAAGTAATTATCGATAAAACGACTCAAAAATCGAAAATATTATTTTTTAATAGATTCTGATCTATATAGAATGAATTTCATTGTTTATCACCTACCTGATTTTGCAAGAAGAATGGCGGAAGCTGTCCCGCGGCAGGATTGGCCTGAAACATGGCGAATTGTTGTAGTTGTTGTTGTAGCGACTGTAGTTGATGATGTTGCAACGTCGAAGCGAGCGCTTGGAGATCCTGAGTCCCTAATGCACCATGCATCAGCAATTGCTGGCTGAGCAATTGAGCAGTCGCTAGCGCAGAATTGCTATTGTTTTGTTGGCCGGACGTGTGCTGCTGCTGGTGACTGCCGGTGAGCTGGCTGCTGATTCCGGAACTCGGTGAGGACGCGCTGCCACTAGTACCGCTGCTACTGTTGCGTTGCGAGACATCCGTGACCTGAAGCAACATCAAATTTGTATTAATTCGACCTTTTTTATTAATAAATCTAACATAAATATCTAATGTAAATTTAACTAAAAATATACAACAAAAATTGTGTGAAAAATTAGTAGATATATATTTTAAGATATACATATATTTATTTTCTAAAATCCTTGTTTAACATGGAACAATAAGGATAAGACGATACATGTGGTCGAGTAATGTTTCTGAACGCAGCCTAAGAAGATTTCCACAGAATATTTATTATTTGAAAAATCTAAAAAAAAAAGATTTTTAAGGAATTTCTTTTTTAATCTTAAAATTAAAAGTGCTTTTTCATAGTGACGCTCAATGCTCAATTTCAACTTCAAAATATTGATATTCATCAATTATTATCATGTGACTTATTTTGACGCCGAAAATGAGTATCGAGCGTCAGCATGAAGTGGCACTTTTAAGGTAAAAAAGGACTAAATTTCAATTCAAGAAAAATCAAGGATTTTCATAGAGTTAAATCAATACTGTGAAAATTTCTAGAATTTTATTTTTAAATTTTAATTCTGTTTCTTTCTCGAAAACATTGTTTTTTTGATCATTTTTTTCTTGCTAGTGTAAAATGTTGGCAATTGTTTAGCAATAAGTATAATATACACGTTTGCGTATATATAAATACTCATGTAAACATTCTCGCGAGTTTTTATTTAAAAAAAATCAGAGCGACAGTAGAATATACAATAAAATTATTATTTAAAAAGTCAGAGTAACAGTAAAATATATTCAGCAAAAGAGAATAGCTTACTGATACTATATCGTAATGAATTTTCGCTATACATTATCCTCTTTTTGCGACTTTTCGCGATTGTAGAAAATAATAGATACACATAATTTCGTGAAATCTTCTTCTATTAGTTTTCGATATGTATAATTGTTTGCGTTGCTTGCATTTCAATTTATTTCAAAATTTTTTGCATTAAAAAATTGTCCAATATTACTTGGAATTTTGAATAATATTTTGAAATATTTTGAAAAATTTGGAAATCGCAAGAAACGTTTTTACAAAATTTCAATAAACATCCTGTCCAATTTTAAGAGTAATATTATATCAATCAATAGTCGTTACTATATCCATAGAAAATATTTCCGAATTCAATGTTATTATAATCTTCAATCTAAAATAGGATTGATATAAGGACTTATTTAATTATATAGAGAATCTTATTTAATTTAAAGGAAAATGAATAGGAAATATTGATCTAATTTTAATATTGTATTATTTTTATATTGCATAAAGCTATGTCAAGAATACTCTTTGTTTCGTTAGAGAAATCTTTTCTGAGAAACTTTAGTCAGTAAGATGCTGTGCACAATTTTTGGTGTCCTACAACTAAGTTTATCGTTTCATATTATTAAGTGACAATCTTTGATTCCCCTAAAATGCGGGCTACGACATTTCACGCTGTAACGTGGGACCGAGAACACGAAGAATCAACCGGGCCGCGCGCGAGGAGGGCCACCCTCCCTAATATTACAGAGTAAATTCGCCGTCGAACAAAGCCATGTTTACACTCGGCCAGGTCAGGATATTGGTCACTACGGTCCATCCTGCGCTTTTGTGTTTTATAAAACCTACTCTCCCTACGTCGTCCCTTCTTGTCGTCCATCTCGCTAGTGGCTTCCTTTATTTATTTGTCAAATATTGATCGCGAGCGCTTTTTACGCCCGTCAAGAGCATCCTGTACAAAAAAAAAAAAAAATCGAAGATACGGTCGCGCCGCATCCGCGAACGTTCCTCTCGAAAGAAAGCACGCTTAATATTATGCTCGCAAATGGGATTGGTAACGTTGTTGATACATTTAAGGAACGCACACAGGCAACAGATGACAATGGGTGACATGACAAAGCACGCTTTCGTCAAAATAAGTAGAGAAAATACCATTGAAGTTAAGTTATTGAAGAAAATCATCTTCTGTAAATATTATTGACAAGTTTAGTACGAAGACATTTAATTATCAATAATAACAGCATAAACAAAATACAAGATTGATTAATCGAAAGAGATAAAAATATTACATGTACTATTTCCAAAAACAAACGGAAATAAATAAAAAATATTATTTATTTAACACATAAAATAT